TCATTGTACAAAATGAGGCATCAAGGCTTTGGAAGAAATTCCAAGATTTGAGAAACTACACAAAGACATTAACAACAACAACAAAAAGATGCTTCTTTTTGTAGACATCTTTTAATGATGCCATGGTATAAATAATTGTGATACTTAGCACTGCGGATCATTCTTTATTATTTGATGCAAATGCCAAATACCAAGCATTTTTATTTGTAGCCTTCATTGCACCCATGTTTGCAATGAAGGCCACAAATAAAAATGCTTGGTATCTGGCATTTGCATCAAATAATAAAGAATGATCCGCAGCGCTGAATATCATGGCAAAAGAGTTTTCCAAAGGGATGGAAATGGTCCTGTATGGCTAGCTATGAGATAACTAAGGTGGTTGCTGAAATTGTCATAATCCTTCCATTTTGATAATCTCAACTCAGAAGGAGAACTCACCACTCAGAGTCTGTCTTGTATAGATAGGGGCCCTGTGGCCCTACAATTCCACAATGGGCAGTCATCATATACTAAAGAAGTACATCCTAAACTCTAGAATACAGCCATAATACAGTAGAGCAGCAGTGATTGATCTCCCACTAACATTCCTGATTATCTCAAGCTTTCTTCTTTTCATCAGGGGAGAGTCATTTTGCAGTCCCTATGGCTAAAAGGCTTAAAGTCATTTATTCAATGATAATTTATTAAACAAACACAATTGGCTGGGTCCACAAAACATATTAACCCAAAGCCAAAGAAACCACACTATGATACTATGACATTGTGGTTAACGTGTAAGTCAGCAGTCCTTGCCAAAAAAAAAAAACAAAAAAAAAAAAAAACCTACAAGTTGCCCAAAGATTGGAGTATTGAAGGAGAATTGGAGTCCAAGAAGGTTTGGAGGTTTATTGGCTGAGCAAAACACATTTTCTTTCACTTCTTTGTTTTAATTGAAATTTCTTAGAAAAACAATCAGAATGGCTTTCTGATGCATTTGCACAGGAACAATTCATAAGTGATTTATATTTATTTTGGGCACTCACTACTTAGCTTCCTTTTATTAATACTATATATAGATATGTTGTTTGCCTCCTACTACAAGCTTTCTACTGCATTCAAACAGGAAAATATCAAAATCTTCAAATGCTAAATTATATTTAAATTTTTGTTAGGTATGGTAGTTCTGATGTGTAGGAAAACATTCTCCATAACAAGAGATACAGGGATAAATATTAATGACCCCCGCTCCACATTTCTGCTTGGAAATGGTGTAGGTTTCAGAAGGCCAACTTGATTTCAGATGCTTTTTATCTGGTGTATCAATAACACACCTACTGCAGTGGGCAGATTAACATTTGGTTACACCACCTGAAAATAGTTGAAAGAAACACTGACATTTAAATGCATTTATCAATATGCAAAAGGCAATTGAGTAGTTGCAGAGAAGATCAAATCAGGGCAAGATTGCCGTGATGCGAAGGGAACACCAAATAACATTGTCTGCGATGCCACTGCCCCCACTTGTCCTGCTCTTAACATCTGTGGAGTTGTTAAACATCATAAATAGAATGACTATGTCTAGAAAGGCAAAATAGAGTAAGTGGGAATGACTTAAGGCTTAAGGAAGCAGTAGTTGGATATATTGTCTGTTTTGATAGTTAGGAGGAAAATCAGCTGAAGATGTTTTATAGATGGCATACTATATGTCACCGACAAGACTTGCAAAGATATACCCAAACAATAGCACAACATGTTGGAAATGTAAGAAATCCCAAGGAACATATTACCATCTATGGTGGACGTGCCCGGCAGCAAAAAACACATGTATTTTTAATGCACCCATAATGCATGTAAGAGAGAACTTACAATTGCATGATTGTGGCTGCCTTCATGATTATTTTGACTATTTTTTGCAGATATCCCTGCAACAGGGTGCTAATCAGCAGGTTCTGACAGGTTCTGGAGAACCGGTAGCAGAAATTTTAAGTAGTTCGGAGAACCGGCAAATACCACCTCTGGCTGGCCCCAGAATGGGACAGGAATGGAAGTTTTGCAATTCCCCCAGGAGTGGGGAGGGAATGGGGATTTTGCAGTATCCTTCCCCTGCCACACCCACCAAGCCACACCCACAGAACCGGTAGTAAAATAATTTGAATTCCACCTCTGCCCTGCAACTATCCTTGGCAGCAGGATTTTAATCTCTTTTGCATCAGCATTGTTTCATCTTACACCAAGCAACTACTCAGAATCACGCAGGGTTTCTCATTTATTACATACTCAGTTCAGCACACCCAAGAGATACCTTCAACAGTAGCATAGCCTCATTCCATTGTGTTTTCATTAGCCTCCAACTGATACTCTGCAGGAGAGGATGATGATGTGCTTTTATAAAAAGCTATTGTTTCTTAACTGCTGAAAATAAAGGAAGTACTACCATGAAAAATTGTGTGGGTTTTCCCTTGAAACAGGTGGTTACATTTATGACATCCCCCAATGGGCAACAAAGAGATCTTTGCAATTAAAAAATAAGGGTTTTCCCCATTTCATGTCAGTGCTTACAGTGAATTGTACAGATGTGTTTGACGAGATTGGATACTCAAATGCCTACTTTGTAAACTGGGTTGCAAACTCTCAACCCTCAGCCAGTTTTCATCATATCAATTCTGTACCAGTTGCACCCCAGAGAGGGGAGTAAAGTCCTTCTTATTGGAATACAATTATCAGCTGCACAGAAACATAACTAATAATGTCATATAGCCACCTTGAGAATATTATACAGTTATGTACATTATTTTGAAGTGAGGAAATTAAGTTTGGAATAGTATTAAGTACTAAAGCAAAACGATAATAATCTCGTGACTGATCACCTATTATAGGCAGCAAACCTAGATGCACCATTGAAGAAAATAGCAAGTATATGTTGTTAAGTTTTATCACATAAAATTGGGATGTCCAGCCCAAAGTTTGTGAATAAAGAGCAAAATGAAAACTAAACAAATGTTATTTCAAGAGAAGCACAAATACATATACCCAGATATCAAGATATAACAAATGTTTTCAAATAAAACATGCATAATTGACTAAATATCTATTTTAACTGATTTAGATTACGCAGACACAATATTGTCTGTCTCATTACTTCTGGAGAGCAAAACATGGATGGGTAGGCTATGAGTGAATTATAGTCCCATTGATAAGGACAAATAGGAAGTATAGTGTTCATTGTAGAGTCTGTTTCAATTAAAATATAACTGCTTAAAATAAAATAATAAAATAAAATATAAACTAAATGTAACTTTCAATTGCCCATTGGTCATTTATGGAGTAGGAGTGATAGTCAAATACTATTTTTTCCTCCACAATTTAGATGCTTTTAATAAACAGGGACCACCTTTGGTGGGAAGGTAACAACATTAAGTGCGCCTTTGGCGTTTAGTCATGCCGACCACATGACCGTGGAGACGTCTCCGGACAGCGCTGGCTCTTCAGCTTTGAAACGGAGATGAGTACCGCCCCCTAGAGTTGGGAACAATTAGCATATATGTGTGAGGGGAATCTTTACCGTTACCTTAATAAATGTCATTTAATAATACAAAGTAATTATATTTAAACAGGAAGCTCCCCAACCTGCTGGCTAAGAATTCTAGGGTTTGCAGCCCAACACATTAGGAGTAACCAGGTTGTTATGTTTAGTCAATTGCCGTTTGCAAATAGAGCATCTGTTAAACAACTACACATATATGGGAAACATATTGTTAAGATGCTGGCTTGTAGATTGGAAGGTTGGTCCAAGTACTAACAGGATGATTCTTGCCCCAGCTCCTGCCAACCTAGCAATTTGAAAGCATGAAAATGCAAATAGATAAATAAGTACCACTTTGGTGGGAAGGTAACAGAGTTCCTATCCACAGTGTGCATAGCTATGCCAGCCACATGATCACAGAAGCATGTTCTGAAAATGGTGGCATCTTTGGCTAGGAAATGGAGATGAGCACTATCCCTCAAGTCAAACATGACTGGACAGGAGAAACCTTTACCTTTTACTTATATTTTTGCTATCTAATATATAAATACTCATGTTTTTTCTTAGGGAGAGAGAGTAACCCACCAAACAACCTCTGTTTTTTATGCAGAAGGTCCTTAACATCATTAATGCCAGGTGATGAGGGCCATCTCCTGGGAGTCACTCTTAGTCAGATCAACCTGCATTAGATTAAATAGCTACTGAAGAGCATTGAAATCATATTCATCTGATTCAGTATTTAAAGCAGGGGTCTCCAACCTTGGCAACTTTAAGCCTGGTGGACTTAAAGTTCAATCAAAACAACTGATGAGTGTTATAAGACTTATGTTTTTGTTCATGCAGGGACCAATTTCAGGTATAGAAATCGGTACAGTTTCAGCAAGGTGCAATATATATGAAAACTACTTGGAGTAGACCAATGTCAGCCTTGTTTTTGGCAATGGAAAATGTTCTTCTCAAAGAGCCTGGCAGTATGAATTTTTGATTCACTACATGGGCCATGACAGGATAGTATCATCTTGGTGGATAGTAATTACCTCACTGTTATAAGAGAGTATGAATGTGAGTGTACCTGTTGTTGCTCTTGCATGTCTACATATATGTGTATCAGTCTTTTTCAAACTGGTATTGTTCAGATATGTTGGATAATTATTCACAAAATTTAACTCAACTTGGAAATTGCAGTCTGGATAAATTTGGAAAGGCTAATATACACACACTCACAAACATGGCTGGGAATTTATAAGGTGCCCTAAGCCTTTGGAGTGTAGATTTGTTTCAGACAACTTTTTATAAACAAGATTGTCCATCCCCTTCCATCCCCCAATAATTTAGCTGTGTCAAAGAAAATTCAGACATTTACTCATACCATCTAGTTTTCCCCATTCTCAGGATAATCCTGAGCATTATTCTGACAAACACTTGATCAAGGCCCACTTAATCAGAGCAGGAATTCTCCCCCCTTTTCAGTCACAGTAAATAAGACAGACGAGAACTGTAAAGAAAAGAATTCAATTTATTCTCCCCATAGTATATTTGTCTCCTGTCCGGTGGAACAGCTTTGTGGATAAAAATCACTCTGTTGCATCATAAATAGTCCTCTAGTTGCTTACCTAGTTGTGCATCTCATAATTAAAAAATAAAAACGAAATTGCAAACTACCATAACTCAACATTTTGCAGTGCCATTTATCAAACAGATTTTTTTTCACTTTCATTGTAATCAATCAGTCATGCGTATTGGCTTAAAACAATTTCTAATCCATAATTTACTCATTTTGTCACAATCTGCGAACTCAGGAGAGAGAGGGAGAGGGAGGGAGGGAGGGAGAGAGAGAGAGAGAGAGAATAGTTACCATCAGAGATTTATCATTTGTGGGGTGAATCACATCTTTTATCACACTTCAGTAGAATATTAATGTGATAATAAAAACTAAACATTACAAACAAACGTATGAATAAGCAAGGTATTAAATAGAAAGGCATTGGCTTATGAACACTTTATGAAATTCTGCAGGATAGATAAAAGGAATCTTTTGTTACATAATTCATTGAATTCATTTCTTCAGGCCATTCATAATTATGTCTTCTAGGTTAGGCATGCTTCACCTATAGTTCAGAAGAACTGCTTTGGACTTCACAGAAACACAGCAGCTCTCTATCATTCGTTCAAGAATTACATTCATTAAAGAGATCCCTTCCAGCCCTATGATTCTATCAGTGGTGGGATTCAAGTAATTTAACAACCGGTTTTCTGCCCTAATGATTTCTTCCAACAATCAGTTCGCCAAACTGCTCAGAAAGTTAACAACGGGTTCTCCCAAAGTGGTGCGAACTGGCTGAATCCCACCACTGGATTCTATGCTTCTAAAGCAGCCACATCTCATGTAAGCAACCTGAGAACCTAGGAAAGCTACTGTGTAATGAATCAAAGATTTTGTAATTGTGCTTGCACATGATTCAAAGCCATTCTTCTGAAACATTTTTGAAACATATATAGAGTACTATCTTCAGGAGAAGAAGCAGTGTGCCTCTGCTTTATTAGTTGCTTGGTATAAACATGGGAGAATGCTATTACTCCCATGTCCTGCTGGGAGCATGACAGAAATGTTGCATATGTTGCCTCTTCTTCTTTATAAGATTGTCCTAAATGAATGAATTGTCCTAAATGATTGTCCTAAATGAATCTGCAATTCCAAAGAACTATGGGAGACATGCTAGCAGATTTCATATTTCCCCGAAGGATGCTAAGTTTATTTTGAGCAACACACCTACAACTTACACGATCAGGTATGCGTGAAAGTCATGGACATCATCTGCTGATTGCTCCTCCTTGTTATCACAACCTCTTCGCTGGCTTACTTTTGAGAAGGTGATATGAGAAGGGGATAACAAACACTTCCTACAAGTACATGAAAGAATGAACTGCTGCAGGCATGTTGCCCGGGCCACTTCACCTCTGTCTTCAGTTTCAAACTGTCACCAGATCCCTCTCCCTCTGCTCCTGTATTACATTCAGCTTTTGAAACATCTTCCTTTCTCAAAAATGCTGTGCTTTTTTGACCTGCTGGTCGGCTGCTGAAACAAACATCTCAAATCCTCATGAGTGTGCAAAGCTACTTGTGTGGCTTTTCGAGTCCCGGTTCCTTTTACAACAGAATTAAAATTGAACATTTGTCTGAGCTGATAAGTTAGTACAACCCTAGGTTGCTCTGCCAACTATTGGGTGGTGGCTGCAATTTTAGGACGATAAAACCGTTAATCATTAAAGCCGTTGGACCTTTTTCAGACTTTTGCTTGAGCTATGCCTGGAAGTCTGAAAAATGTCAGGGTAGTTTAATGAATAGCAAAAATGCTGTACCTTCATGAAGCACATCTTCCCAATCATTTTTCAAAGCCTTATCAGCGATATTGAATAATTTATACTACATTTCAGTGAACCATATGGATGAAGGATTACAGTCCAAAATTTAAGTCAGGATTATGTAGATTAATATATAGAAGTAACTTCCCTGCTTTCTTACAGTTTCTTAAAGTTTCTCCAGTCAGACTGTCATTAAAATCATGTCATATCAGACTGGTTTTGATCTAGTGTGACCATATGAATGGACAGGCCAAAGCCTTTGAGATATTGCAGAGATTTATGGGCCATCCTGTTTCAAGTTGGAAAAAGTCTTGGGCAAGACAAGTAGCTGTCTTGCAGTTGAGTAAAGTTACCTGTGAAATAAGAGCAAGCTTCCAATCTGGACTGGAATGATGTCATTGGAAAAGGAATCTGTCTCCCTATTTAATATTTTTGCCACAGAAATATCTGGATTCTTCTCTTCAAAAAATAACAAAGGCAATCACAGCTTTATAGATTTGCCATAGGTTTTAAGTTTGCTACAAAACAGTAGAATCTGGAAAGAGTTGTTTGTTGTATTTCTGAAATCCACTAAGTTATAGTTTTATGTATCTCTCAGTCTCATCTTCCACATAAATACTACAAATGGAAAACATTCATCTTTAGATCAGGAAGTTAAGATGGATTTTCAAAATCATTACTGTACTACCAAGGCTCTGTTTTAGACAATGCATGTAGGCACTGCTTAAAAGCACGGGAAGAGAAGGTAATTTTTCCTAAGATGTTGGCCATCTATTGTTTAGAGAGGAACCTTTATTTAAAATTATCAAGTTTAAAATTTTGCTATCCAATTAATTGGGAACACCTTTCAATGAATGGGTTAAAATTGTTTGACCAGTCTAACTGTGATGACTCCCCTGGACACTTCCCCAGATACCTCTCCAGATGTCAGCCTGGAGGAAGATGAACCAGTTGCAGGAGGCACGTCTGGAGGGGAGTTGGTTAATGGCTCCAAGCAGCCGCCTGAGAGGGATTTGGCTGAAGCACAGCTGCAGCAGGACAGCCCTGAGGCTTCAGGTGGAGAAAGCATGCAGCTGCAGCCAATCAGTGATGAGGAAGAGGAACTGCCTTCTGCACCTGATCCAAGAACTTGTAGGGCAGGAAAAGAAAAGATCACCCAGACTACTCACGAAGGGAAAGCCTCATCCTTCTTGATGGGCTGCACCAGATGCTGGCTATCTAGCACAGCAGACAGATGGAAGTGATGCTGGGAACAACATGTTCATTTGTTGTGATTCTTGCCTTGCTTGGATTGACAATGTGCCTTGACTTGCATCGTGCCTTATGAACTCTAGACTTTGATTGCTTCATGAACCCTCTTGTATTGTGGATTTAATTTTGCCTTGTGAGTTTATTTTGACTGGGAGACTTTCAAGTGCCTTGTGGCCTCATTGGCCATTGCTTGTAGACTAGCATTGGTTTGCTTATGGTTGGACTTATTTGGGACAGTTCTGGGTTTTTGGTGAACGGAATTGCAGGGGAATATTAATAAACCTACTAAATCACAGTTACGTGTGTGTGTGTGTGAGAGCGGGAGAACACATTAACCAACTACTTAAGAGAACTGGGATCCTAAATAATATTACTACAGCTATTTATAAAAAAAAATCATCATTATTACACATCTTGAAATCAAAGAAGTAGGATTGCAGAAATAATTTTAACATGACCAGCAAAGTAGAATTTTGAATATACTTCTCTCTATACAATATACATTTCATTCAGTCACAGACTTTCAATATTTGTGTGTGTGTGTGTGTGTGTGTGTTTACGTGTACATACTTATATGTAAAAATCAGTGTTTCTTCTTCTTCTTCCCAATGATAAAAAATAACATCATAATATCACTTTCTTTAAAAATAATTATTGTTGAGGTCTGGAACTGAGATAAAGTTGCATTACTGCAGGATTTTTTTTTCTCCTGTTATTCTAGAATATAGGTAACCACCTAAAAGAAGATTAGGTATTATTTAATATCGCAGTCTATGCAATGAGCCTTTTAAAATTTTGCTATAATTCAGAACATGATAGACTTTTACAGGAAAAGCACCTCTAAATTGCAGATTATTCTTTGCTATGGTATGAAGTTTAGGATTGGGGTGTCATTTAAATCTGTGGGGCGTAAGGGGCCCATTCTTCCCCTTTCCCCTTTCGTGGAATGATCTTCTCCAAAGACCCAAGCTGAGGAATGATGGATACAAACAGCAGTGTATAGATCTGAGAAATCCTGTATAGGTACCATGTCATTCTATTGCTCAGATATGTTATGAAGCAAAGCAAGTGATGAAGTTTAATTGAATAGGAAAAACGCCAAAGATTCTTTTGTGCTCTGACCAGTCTCAGATCCTCTGGGGGAAAAAAATCTTAAGTCTCATTCATAGGAAAAAATGCTACTGTAATTTTGTTACATCGAAACAATCAGTTGGATCCCTAAGAATATTCTGTCTCTGAAAGGTTTGTGTCTAACCATCCGATGATGCCTCCTCGCACGTGATCATTTCATCAGAATGAATTGCCTATCGGACTAGGATTTCTTCTAAGGATAACTGGGAGTCACAAATAACTTTAAATAGTCTCTGGCTTCATTGTCCCCTTTAGGAGACAAGAGAGTGAGTCATGCCATCACTTTCCAGGACATTTCCTTCCTTCTCCTATTGATATTTGGGGTGCACAAATGTGACATTTTAATGGTCTAAATCAGTGGTGGGCTTCTACCTGTTCGTCCCGGTTCTGGCGAACCCGTAGTGGCAGGGGCGGGAAGCTCCGCCCGCCCACCCGGACGTCATCGCGGATGCTCTGCGCATGCGCAGAAGCACCCACGCCCATGCGCGCCTGCTCACAGTTCCGAACCAGCAGCAAAGGTAAGTGGAACCCACTATTGGTCTAAATGTTCTGAGACCCAAATGCATGTATCTTTATACGTCTTGCAAAGCAGAGAATCAGAAATCCATAAATCTATGGTAGCCCCCGAGCCCTACTGCCCATTGCAACATTTCCAATTTTATGAGCACATTTATCCCCCCTCCCCCAAATAATAAAATAATATTATGGCAGAGGAAAACTCCGGCAATAAGAACACAAGAAACTTTTTTTTCTTTTTTTTTTCTTTTTTTGCCTAAACAGCATTGCATTTCAGCTTTTAATGAGGAATCTATTTTGTAAGCATAAATAACCTAAAGGCTCGGATTTATTAAGAATGCAAAAAAAAGAGAAAAAAGAATTAAAAAAATAAATCAGGGCAAAAGGAACATTTCCACCCCAAAACAGTGTAGCACTTACTTGTCACATCTAGAGCTATTGTCACTGCAATTTTCTTACCCTGCAAACAAGGCTGTCCTTTCTTACCAACCATTTAAATAATAAATTTCCAACTATGCTGCTCGCAGCATTACTAAAAAAAGAGAGAGAAAAATATTAACTTACAAAATAACCAATTCTTCATACATAATTATGACAAATAAAAAAAAAATCTTAAATTAAACAGCTTTCTTTCTTTCTCTGGGTATCCACATTTCATTCTGGTTTCAGGTAGCTTGGCACTGAGTAATTGAACATTAAAAAATCAAGTTTGTAGACTTCATAGAGCTGTGTCTGGTGCTCTGAACTGATGTTCTGGAAGAACTCTGCAGTCATTTCATCAGTAGTTCTTGTAGACTTTGCATAAGTGGGGAACTTGAGATAGTTTCCTACTCCTGCTAGTTGAAGGATGTAATTGGAATCCTCCTCAAGAGTCTCGTACTTCCCTATGAGGTCGTAATGGATGTGACAAGGATGGCACAGAGAAAAGACAGTTTGCCAGTGTTCATTAAATGGCTCTTCTCTTTGAGTTTGCGGGTCTATGAGATAAGCCACAAACTCTTCAAATTTTACATCATCACCTTTCTGCAGAGCCTCCTGTGTCGCATTTTTCCTTTGGCGCTTCACGATTTTGGTACCATATCTCTTGTGAAAGGAGGTGTTATATTTTTGGGTGAATTTGTTTCTGTAGGCCGACACCAGTCTCTCAAAAGGCTCACGGACAAACAAGAACTTCATGTAGTTTTTCAAGCGATGGTTGATCTCTGGGATGCTGTACTGGTTGAGTGTTTTCAAGTTGGATGAGATATGGGCTTCATTTGCTGGTATCTCCATTGGATCGGTGTATTTTCCTCTCCCAGTCAACACCATCATGACTCTTTTCCAGTTGGTACAGGCCACTTTGGGGACATAGCAATAAATCAGTTCATGATCTTCATCAACCACTAAATGTTTGAGATCATTAGGTGTCAGCACACGGCGTTTCTTATTGGACATGCTGTTGGCTCGGCATGTATCTGTCACTTGATCCCTGCGGATTTGATGAAGGATTGCCGTGCTGGATAATTCCAACTGTATAAATAAAACATAAATAAAGATAACTTAGCACTGTTTGGAAATATTTCTTTCATCTCGTTATTAATACCTTCTGCTTATCCTTGTTGCTAAAACCCACCAAAGTGGTACACTACAGATCTCAAAGATATCCTAGGCAGAAATTGCTTCTAATTCTGTGCTAGAGCTGCTTCTAATTCTCTTCTTTACACATTCTTCTGCTGTTTTATTGATACACAAAACTTCCTTTACCACTTTGAAATAAAACAGTTACTAAAAATGTACTTTCCTGGAAAACTAGTGGCTTGTTCAAGACCCACCTATCCAGTCTTCTATGTCTAAAACCAATATTACAACTTAGGGATGATGCTCAATCGCATACCTTGTGGGTATATTATTATTATTATTATCTCTTTTATTCATTAAACATGAAACTCAGTCAACTGAACATTTAAAAATATATCACAAATATCATTGACTAGCGCTGATGATTGATACAGGTTGCTGCCAGCATCCGAGGTATCAACGAAGTATCTTCTTAAAATTATTATTTACTTTATTCATTAAACATAAAACTCAGTCAACTGAACATTTAAAAATGCATCACAAATACCATTGACTGGTGCTAATGGTTGATACAGGTTGCTGCCAGTGTCCTAGGTATCAACCTTACTATTATTATTATTATTATTATTATTATTATTATTATTATTATTATTATTTAATCTTTAGTGAGATTCACAGCCTTTGAGGCTGGTTAATAGCTCAGCAGCTCGAGTCCTAACCAAGGACCTAGGAACTGTTGAGGTATCATCAGAGGATGTAAGCTGTTCCGAGTAAGGTGGTTTTTTGTAGAGTCAAAATGTTCAAGTCTGGCAAATTTAGAATTTCTAAACAGCGGGGTAGCCCTTTGGGTATTGCTCCAAGGGCTCCAATTACAATTGGGACAACACACGATTTCTTTTTCCACAGTCGCTCACTATTATTATTATTATTATTATTATTATTATTATTATTATTATTATTAACCGCCTATTCATCCATGGCGACTCAAGGCAGCTTACAAAATATAAAATCACATTTAAAAACAGTAAAACTAATAAAACTAATTAAAAAGAATCAAATAAATTAATGTAATAAAATCACCCACCTCCCACCCCAGTGACAGCAGATCACACGAGCCATTTAAAGGGCTCCATCCCACTCCGGGTTCCCCAGGCCTGCTGGCAGAATCAGGTCTTCAGCGCCTTCCGGAAGAGAATTAGAGTGGGGGCCATTCTAATCTCTGGGGGAAGGATGTTCCAGAGAGAGGGAGCCACCACAGAGAAGGCCCTTCTTCTGGGTCCCACCAACTGTATCTCCCTTGGGGATGGGACCCGCAGCATTCCTTGCCTCCCCGCTCTGATGGGTTTCCTTCCCCTGCTGCGCCCACCAAGCCATGCCCATAGAACCGGTAGTAAAAAATTTTTTGACTTCACCACTGACCTAAAGCCATAATTACAGGTGAAGCTGCAGATGGAAGCAAACACATTTTTTTGGCTCCTAAGGACAATGCAGCCATAACCTGGTACTGAAAGTATTTCAATCTACCGTTATGAAACAAGGCAATATAAATCTTTCTCTTATTCTAAAAAGACTTCTTCCTGCAACTCTAGTCAAACTCATTTTGAAAGGAGATCAAAACTTGGTGTGACCTTTGCTGCTGAGAACAGAAGGAGGACTCGGGTTTCCAAACACTTTTGAAAATGAACACAGTATGTGCTCCTGCTGTTGATAGGTATCTCAGCCTAAGATTAATTGTTTTGTCTTCCTCGTTGGCAGTGACCTTGGCATGTGAAATAAACTTTGTGGAAATGCACCAAAGGAATTTTAAAATATGCTTCCCAGAAGTAGTTTTTTTTATTTAGTTTTGCTATGTATCAGTGCTGGCTTCTGAGACTCACAGCATCAAATAGGGCAAGCATCAGTTGGCTTTTAACATACTTTTTGCTTATCACATTCTTTGTTTCTAGATGGATATATTTATTAAGGATGTTTGTAGTTCCAAATTGAATAAATTTTCTTTTTTAGAATAGGTTAAATTATAGGATAGGAATACATTATTTTTCCTATTTTAGCCCTCTAATCCTTGACACTGCAAGTTTTCTGGGTAGATTATTTAGTTACTTAAGATATTGCAGCAAAAAAAGAACAATCCTGCAATACAATGGGACATAGCGCATGGATGTTCCAATCTATTAAAAAAAGCCATTATAACAATATGATGTCAAAGCCAGTGGTGAAATCCATTTTTTTTACTACCGGTTCTGTGGGCATGGCTTGGTGGGTATGGTGTGGCTTGGTGGGTGTGGCTTGGTGGGCATGGCAGGGGAAGATACTACAAAATCTCCATTCCCACCCCACTCCAGGGGAAGGATATTGCAAAATCTCCATTCCCACCCCACTCCAGGGGGAGGATATTGCAAAATCTCCATTCTTTCCCCACTCCAGGGGAAGGATACTGCAAAATTCCCATTCCCTCCCCACTCCTGGGAGAAGGATATTGCAAAATCTCCATTCCCACCCACTCTGGGGCCAGCCAGAGGTGGTATTTGCTGGTTCTCCGAACTACTCAAAATTTCCACTACCGGTTCTCCAGAACCCATCAGAACCTGCTGGATTTCACCTCTGGTCAAAGGATGTCAAAAATCATTGAGCAAAAGTCCTACAGTTTAAGCATTAATATCCCAAATTTTTTTTCAATGTAGCCAGGAATATTTATTGTAAAAATTATGCTAACCCAATTAAGTTCCATTATATTGACCAACAGAGTGTTAAGCCATGAATTACTGAACAATGGGATTGGTTCCCACAACTAACCATTCTTAACTTACAATGCAATAATTTAATTGCAAATTACACTATTTGTGCAAAATCATGACAGATAGGACATCACGTACCATCCCTTGCCGCCACTTGTGGACATCCATGCAGGGATTATAATTGTTAAGTGTTGCATTCATCTAACATGCTGAGTTTACTATAATGTCGTAACTCAGACATTACTGAGAAGTGACCCATTAAATATACTTTGACTTTCCTTTTAGGAGACATATTGATATTATCAACATCCCCCTGAGACTAGAATGGCCCCCAATTTAATACTCTTTCAGAAGGCACTGAAGACCTGGTTCTGTCAGCGGGCCTGGGGAACCCAGAGAGGGATGGAGCCCATTAAATGGCTCGTGTGATCTGCTGTTGCCGGGACAGGGGTTGGGAGGTGGAGGGCAGTGGTGGGTTGCCCCTGGTTCGGACCGGTTCTATAGAACCGGTAGTAAAACCGGCGGGAAGCTCCGCCCACTGACCAGAACGTCATCAGAAGCTTCTACGCATGCGTAGAAGAGCGCGTGCAGGCACGATGTGAACCGGTAGTAAAGGTACCCTGGGGGGTAATTTTGTTATATTGTACTATATTAATTTATTTGATTCTTTTTGTTAGTTTTTATTGTTTTAAATGTGGTTTTATATTCTGTAAGCCGCCTTGAGTCGCCATGGGCGAATAGGCGGCAATATAAATTAAATAAATAAATAAATAAATAAATAAATAAATAAATTTTAATATCCAGAATGCATTCTCATAAGAAACAATTTTTTTACATTTGCATTAGTATTGGCTGCATCCATTAAAATAGGTATTATTCCCACCCCACCCCATTATTTAAAAGCACAGAGCTCAAATACCCCAAGAGCCACAAAGACGCAGTAGTTAGAGTGCAGTACTGCAGGCTACTTCTGCTGACTGCCGGCTGACTGCAATTTGGCAGTTCAAATCTCACCAGGCTCAAGATTGACTCAGCTTTCCATCCTTCCAAGGTGGGTAAAAGGAGGACACAGATTGTTGGGGGCAATAGGCTGACTATGTAAACTGCTTAGAGAGGGCTGTAAAGCACTGTGAAGTGGTACATAAGTCTAAGTGCTATTGCTATTTTCTGATCTGGACTACGTAAAGGGCTGATTATAACCTATCTTCCTTTTCCCCCTTCATCCCTTCATTTCAAAAGTTCTTCTTATTTGCCATGAATGAATGAATACACAAACATTCCATAAACATTCCAAGACCATTAATGGGCTTCATAAATTACACAGTCAAAATCTAATTGCAGCAGGAATGTGGCTATTAAATAGTAACAATAGCAATCAATGTCTTTCCTATTTTTCCTTAATTAATACTCACATCGCATTGTGCTATTTTATTCCTTTGCTCTGAAAGTTAAACTTTCATTTAAAATAAAGCTCCATGTCAATTCCATCAAGGTCCTGGAATCATATTTTCATGATTTGTAGACCCCACCCCCACCCTCCAGTGTTTACATTTTGTTCCTGCTGAGGTGTCTGTGTAACCTTGAGCTTGTTGTTGCCATATGTGACAGCCATTCCTAATGTGCGTAAGAGACAACTGACCTAATATGCCCTTTATCCAAAGTCTTAATGACAACAAATTAAGAGTCACATTGAAGCATATCTGCTTTTTTGGCTGCTGACATACCTAGAGACCCTCACACAATTAAAAAAACAAACAAACCCAGACTTAATTGCAAATTAACCTTCTAGCTAGCAGATCTTTTGATTGAAACTGCACTGCAACAATGGTAATTTTTGAAGACACGAATTTGCATCAATATGCTTAAGGGGTTTTTGGCAAGCATTTTGAAACTAATGTTTAATAATCATTGTTTTGTATATACCCATTGTTTTTTAATCTTCTTGTATGCCGCTCAGAGTCATCTTTTTGCAAGATAGCTGGCAATATAGATTTGATAAATCCATAAATAGATCAGTATTCTCAATATCTTCAGTAGCTAGAAACAGATGTTTCTTCTCAGCACTTTTATGACATAATCCACATAATCCCATTTCACCACTACAGGGGTGAAATGCTCCCGGTTCGGACTGGATCGCCTGATCTGGTAGCGATGGCGGCGGGTGGTTCGGAGAACCGGTAGCAAAAATCCCTCCCCACCCCCATGCCCAGCTGAGCC